ACAGAAGAATTGTGGAAATGTTTATATCACGATTCCCAATGAATCGTGAAAGAATCTTGGCAAAACTTGATTCTTGTTCTTTTATATCAGATAATAACTAAATAAACATTTAATCACGTAATTTTTTATCTTTATCAAACTTGAAAATATTAGTTTATCAATTACTTTCATTAATAATATTAAAATAAAAAACTTTATTTAAATAACAATTTTTTACATAACAAACTAACTTTCTCAGTTACAACTTAATAAAAATTTACTACTTAATAAAATCATTATAATTTAAAAATATCCTTATTTAAAAAACTCATTAACAAAAACAAAAAAAACAGTGAAAAACTAAACATTGTTTTTGAAGAAGAAGTAAATTTCAAATATGAAAACAATGAAACATATCAACAATGGGAAGAAGAAATGAACTCTCATTGGGAAGATATTACCCAAAAAAATGAAACCCCTTGGAATGAAAATTGACCCACCTATACGGTCGATTCAGAAGAATTCGAAGAATTCGAAGAAGGAAATTCTTCAAATAGTAACATCAACCAAACCGTAGAGGAGAATCGATCAACTGATTCTTCTCAAAATACGCTTGTTGAATCAAGTGTAAACTACCAAATAGAATTAACTTTGTTAATTCTAATTATTATCTTGGTTCCTTTTTCATTTATTTTTGTATAGATTCTCGGAGGTCTTCTACTTCTCCGAATAAAAATCTTTATATTAAAATTGCGGCTAGCTGATAGAGATTATACAACGATGATGAACCTATTTGAGATTTTATTCAGCCAGTCGACAATTAACTCTTCTTTTCGGAATGGCGGAGACGTCGAGGAAACCATTATCGAGCTTGTTAATAGTAGTATCCAAATTGAAGATTTTTCACATATTCAAGTCTGCATTATTGATGATATGATCTTCTCTTCAGATAATCGTAGGCTTTACGTATTCCAAGAAGCAATTCGAAGGGGATTAAAAGTTGATAAAATTCCAGTTCGAGTTCAACGATCGACAGATTTGAATATTAAATGGAAAATGGAAGGTTCATATAAAATTGTTCAAAATGATAATTTTAAAAATATAATAGTGAGCCAATATGCAAGAAATAGAAGAGTTATAGATAAAGAGGGGTTCTGGGATTTTAGTTCTAATTATTACATGTAAATAAATTTGTAAATAAATAAAATAATTTTAACAATAAAAATATTTCAGAAGTTTTGTAGAACAATGAACAAACTGTTTTTTTTTAAAATATATAAAATGTTCTCGTTGTTATTCTTGTGAATTTCTTAGACCAGAAAATCTTTTAACCCGACTGCTAATAAATTGTAGTAAGATTGAGAAATAACTTGTTTAAGTTGCTCTTGAAAAATCAAGAGATTGCAATAAATCTTTTCCAGTAATTTGAAATTATCAACGTTTTCTTAATAATGTGAATTATTTAATCCAAAGAAACAAATTCTTTCTCATTCAATTCGTTTTCAAATATTTGATAAAAGTTAAGATTGCTATAATTCTGGCAAAATTAAAAACAATTGATTTCTAATTGTTTAAAAAATAGCCTAATATTTACTTAATAATGGATTATTGAATAACCCATTATTTATCGACGTTTCTTCGGAGTCACCGATTTTTGAGACAAAATCAAATTTGTCAGCTTCGAAGAAGCTAATTTGTTCAAAGTTGTTTGTGTGATGTTTCTCATCACGAATGTTCTTTCTCGTTCAATTCGTTTTCAATAAATTTCTTCGATCAAATTCTTATTTTTTTAAGATATGCCTTGATTGTGGTTTGAGAAAGGTATAAAATCTTCTCCAGTAATTTGAAAATGTAACAAAGTTTGTAATGTTTCTCGAAAACGATTGGCTTGTCGGTTGAGGAAGACAGAAATTTTTCTCGTCAAATATGTAAGCAATTTTCAAGAAGAAGTGTTTTTATAATTCAAACAGTTAAAATTTACCATTTTATTTTCGTTTAATATATAAAATGTTCTGGAAAAGTTCTTATTAATGAATTCCAGAACCAAAATTGATATAAAGAAACAATTGCAATTGTAGTTACTATATTTAATATAACTACCAAAATCCAAAAAAAAGTTTTTGACGAAAGAATTTTATTAAAGATTTGGTAGATATCAAAATGGTATTCGCCTTCGAAAAGGTTTGTAAGAAACAAACCAAAGACTACACAGAAAAAAAAAAGATTACAAAGATTTTTGGAAACATTTTTAAAAAAATTGTTTGTAAATTTTACTTTTATAAAAATATTTGATTGATTAAACATTCGCAACGAAGAAAAAATGGATCGCTTTTATTTCTTTTCGAACAATATAGTTTTGAAAATTGATTTAAATTTCTTTCTAGTTTATAACCTACATTAAACTTTCTCAAAAAAATAAGATTGTAAATTGCTTTTTATAGTTTGATTAAAAGAACTTTCTCAAAGTAAAGATTGTCTTTTGTGGTGTGATTAAAAGAACTTCTCGTAGTTAATAAGATTTGTATGAAATTGCCTTTTGTGGTGTGATTAAAAGAACTTCCCGCAAAAAAATAAAATTTGTATGAGATTGCCTTTTATGGTTTAATTTGTTAGAACAAAAGAAGTTTCTTAGAAATATAAAGTTCTTCAATCGATTTCTTATTTTAGTCCACATAAATAAATCTGCATAAAAATAATTGAGACAAACAATGAATTCCGATAATATTCTTCAACGATTCGAAAATTTATTAAACAAGTAAATATAACTTTAATTTACAATTAATTTATACAGTATTTCATATTAATGTTTTTTTTTTAAAATAGTATGTCAGAAATTTTAAGCTTTCTTGAAGACAAAAAAAATAGTAATGTTCAAGGTTTTCAAAATACTTCTTTCTTGTTGAAAGTGGAA